ATAACCCTGAGATTGATTTCATTATATGTTTATTTACCATTTGTATTTGTTAATATGAATCATTGTTCTTATGTGGCCACATTTTATATTAAATATTCTGTCTCTTTCTTAATTATTTGTAGTTATTTATATATTGCAAATTCTAAGCCTTGTCAGTAAGGCAACTTCAAAATTTTCCTATTCTAGAAACTTCTGTCCCATTCTTCCTCTTTCCTTATAAACGCATTATGGTATCCATGTTTATATCCATTGCTTTAATTTGACATTGTCTAAACTTTATGGCTTAGATATGCTTTGTTTAGTTTCAGACAACCCTTATTATAAAGTTTTTTTTATGTTTTTATCCAAATTTTAAGATAAGTTTATCAATTCCTACAAAAATGCTTGCTGACCTTTTGTTAGGAATATTTTTGGCCCATTTGAAAATATTTAATATTTAATCTATATTGAGTCTTCCAATCTATATATAAGGAATATCTCTGCAATGTTTAGAGATTCTTTAAGTTCTTAGCATTGCTTCATGAGGCAATGTGAACTCTGTGGCTTTGTAGGATGACTTTTAGTTGGTAATTGACTTTCACTGTTATAGGTCTGCTCAGATTTCTTATTGTTTGTTGATTCATCTTGGTAGTTTGTGTCTTTCTAGGAGTTCTTTTTTCATTTCATCTAAATTGTTTAATTTGCTGGCATATAGCTACACCAGCCTATAGAATCACTTTGATTTCTGTAAGTTCAGCAATGTTAACCCCTATTTCATTCCTGATTTTGGTAATTTGTTCCATTTCCCTTATTTTTGTTTAAGCCCTCTTTTAAGGATTTTCCATTTTGTTCATCTTTAACACTTGTCTGTACTTACCTTATTTTTTGTTTTTTCAGCTTTATAGATATATAATTGGTAAATAAGAATTGCATACCATATATTCAAGCTGTACAATGAGGTATTTTTCAATATGCATATAATTATGAAATGGTCCCCATAATCAGGCTAATTAACATCCATCTTCTCATACAGTTGCATACATGTGAAGAGAATACTTATGTTCTCCTACCTTAGCAAATTTAAAGTACACAAGTATCAACTGTAGTCATCACGATGTACATTAGTTGTCTAGAACTTTTTCATCATGTTACTGAAAATTTGTTTTCTTTTGGCCAATATTTTTCAATTTTTTCCCACTCTTTTGGTTCCCTGGCAACCACCCTTCTACTACCTATCTTGTGAGTTTGCCTGATTACATTCAATGGATAAGTGAAATCATGCAGTATTTGTCTTTCCCTATCTGCTTAGTAGAATATCCTTCAGGTTCATCCATGCTGTCACAACTGGTAGAATTTCCTCCTTTTTTAAGCTGAATAATATATTTTCTACACCCATTCACCCACTGACAGACAATTAGATTATTTCAATATCTTGGCAATGAATAGGAGACTGCAGGTATTTCTTTGAGATGTGATTTTTACTTCCTTTGGGCAGATACCACCAAGTAGGATTGCTAAATTATATGGCAACTTTATTTTAAATTTTTTGAAGACTCTCCATATTGTTTCCATAATGGCAATACTTATTTACCTTCAACCAAGAATGCCATTTCAATATTTGCTTACTTCAAGTTTTGATTGCTTTATGTTTTATAACTACTCTGTTACAAGATCAAGTTATTGATTTGAGGTCCTCATTTTTGATGCAGGCATTTTAAACTTCAAATCTCATTCAAAACCCTGCACTAGCTGCATACCACAGTTTTAATAGGTTGTGTTTACATGTTCATGTGCTTCAAAATAATGTTAATTTCTTTGGTTACTTCTTCTTTGACCTAGTAGTTATTTAGAAGTATATTTCGTAAAGCTGAGACTTCTTGCTTTTGTGGCTCTCTGATGTAATTCCATTTTACCCAGAAACATACTTGGCCAAATTTATCTCCAGATTATAGCCTGTATTACAGAATATCTGCATGCACATAAAAAGAATGCTCCTGTGCTGTCATTGTGTAAAGTATCCTATAAATGGCATGTTGGATTCTTAGTGTTTTTCCAGGCTTCTACTCACTTGTGAGTCTAATTGTTTTATCAGATATTAAGATTGGACATTGAAATGTCCAATTATTATTGTTAAATCTCTTATTTCTCCCTTTAATTTTTCCATGTGGTTTCATGAATTTAAGGATTTACTGTTATTTGTATGCTCATCTATAGAGTTATCAGTCAGGTAATGGCCACTTTTCATGGGAAGTGTCCTTCTTTGTCTCATGATATGCCAGTTTTGAAGTTGATTTTTTCTGATATTGGTATAGAAATTGTAGATCTTTTAGAGTTGTTTGCAGTGTACATGTTTTTCTATCTTTTTACTTTCCCCCTATTTATGTTTCTAAATCCGGGGTGTGTCTCTTATGTACAAAGTATACCTATGCTTTATATTCTTATTCTCTAGTAACAATGCCTGCTTTTGTGAGGAATACTTCATTCATTCTCTTGGGATTACTCATATGGGCAGAATTTCATTTGAGATTTTTCTGTTTATTTTCTGTTAATCCCCTGTCTTTTTTATTCTTCCATTTCTCCTTTATTGCCTTCATGTATGTTAAATAAATTTGTTAGTGAACAAATTTAATTCTTCTCCTTTTTAAACTTCACCTTATTTTATCAGTAGTTGCCTTATAGATTACTATATATAATGTACCATAATTTACTTAAGAATAATACTAACTTAATTCCAGTTGGCATAAACTTTGTTTCAATATATCTTCATTTCTTCCCCTTTTTTCTATTGTTATCACACACATATATAATACACAGATGTTCTCCAATTTAGTGAAGGTTCTGCTTATAACTTTTTGACTTTATAATGGTGCAAAAATGTACCATGCAGTCATATCTTTTTTGTTTATATAATATTCAATTATTACATGAGTTATTCAATATTTTATTAAAACATCAATGTTAGATGATCATGACAAGGAAGACAAAGCTAAACTATGATATTCACTCAGGACCCTAGGTACATTAAATTCATTTTTGAATTAAGATATTTTCCACATATGATGGGGTAATTGAAACACAATCCCATCATCAGTCAAGAAACATGTGTGTTTATGTATGTATATTACATGTATACACATATATAACTATATATAACTTCATGTAATTGTATGTAACTACATATATCTATATGCATGTATATATGAAACTGACTCAACAATACCGTGATGTTATTATCTCTTCATATAATCTATTTTAAGGAAATTTTGAAAAGATTTTAAAACATATAATACAGTCCTTTATATTTACCTACATATATGCTAACTTCCATGTTCTTCATTTTTTCCTTTAATTTTTGCTGCCATCTGGTTTCATTTCCTTTTAGCTATAACTCCCTATTTAATCCCCAGCTATTCTGCTAGCCAGTGGCTTGCCAAAAAAAAGAATCACAACCTCATTGTAGGAGGAAGCTAGCCACTGCTATCTGCTTGCCACCAAGGCACCCATACTAACCAAATCAAAGAAGCCCCTTCAGGTAGCTAGAACAAAGACATTGGTTTTGCCCATCTGACCACTACTGATAATGCTGGAGGTGTGGGACTGAGAGAGCAACTACAGGCAAAAATGCCAAAGCTATGGCTGCTATTTTCCATAGTTCAGTTTTAGTGAATGGGCTTGTGTCCTGGATGGGTTTCCAGAGTGCTGAACTGGATATTATTGGCAGTTTACCTGCTTCATAACTGCTATTTGGAGGGGAGGGTTTGCCAGGATCCTCACTTGATTATACCAGATATGAATGTCTTGGCTTTAGATTTCTCTTTTATTGTGTTCTATTGTATTGATAAAGGTTTTTCTTACATTTATTTTTCTTTTTCAATTTGAAAGTCATAGTATTTTGTTTAAAAAAATGTAACCTTGTTCTTTAGGGCCTATACTTTCAAATTTTTCTTAAAAACCTTTTAAATTATATTCATATCATGTCCCTGAGAACATTACATATTTTTATTTAGCTTTATTCTACCAGCCAATTTTCATTTTCATTTAGTGTAATTTCATTCCCAATTCTCTGGGCATTTAGCTGAGGGAAGAAAGACTATGGTGTGCTCCTAAGCCTTCTTATGAAAATTATTTAAAAATTGTGATATTATATGTGTAGTTAGGCTAATTCTCAGGTTTCTGTTTTGGGAAAATGATCAATGTTGATGACACCAAATGACCTAGGTAGACAGGATATCTTCCATTGTTTTGCTGGTGGTGTAATTTCTTCATAATCAACTCCTAACTCAAGAAGGTGGAAGAAATTTAAAGATACATCTGTTAAGATCTATTTCAAATTGTTTGAATTAAGATGTATGGGATGTGGGATGAATATAAAATGGTCTGGGATATATTTTGATTCATTAGTTTATAAAGCCTAGTTAAAGTCATGAGAGTAGATAAGCCCAAAGAATAAAAAGAAGAGGGCCAAATAGAGATTCCTTAAAAAATACAAATGTATAAACTGTACAGGCCACTGTGAGATGAACTGAGAAGTTAAATTCTGAGAGGTAGATTTAAAGAAAGGGAGAGAAGGGATAGTGAACAGCCAAAGCTCACTAAGGAATAAATTTCTTAGAAAAATTAGTGTGCCTTAGAATTAAAGGGGTAATTGGTAATTTTAACAAGAACAGGTTAAAGTAGACCAAATGTGACTGTGTTAGGGCAGCACACAAGACAGATTGCTGGGGGTTGAGAGGAGAAGAAAAAGTGGCTATGGGAGTATAGACATTTTGCTCAGGTGTATGTCAAATAAGGAAGGGAGTTAAGTTAGTAAAAAGCTACAGAGAGAGGCAGGGTTAAAGGTCTGTACAAATATAATTTTGAAAGAAAGAGTGTCAAGAAGACATATAGAAAAGACTCCAAGGCAAAGGCTAGACATGTCACAGACTATTAGAATGAGTTTGTGCATCAGGAAGGAATATACATGTACAAGTATGTGTGGGGAAGGAGAGAGGCTAGCTATTGCAGAAGTTATCTTACAAATGTGTCACAATACTAAATAAGTCTTTCTAACCAATTTTCAGATTTCAGAGTTCAAAACGTGATCCTGAACTATGTCAACACTTTCCACTGAGACAGTCTCCAATAGTAGTAATTCAATGACCTCCACCTTCCTCCTTGTGGGCATGCCTGGCCCATCAACGGCACCATCCTGGTGGACGTTACCTCTCATTACTGTCTACCTTCTCTCTGCCCTGGGCAATGGCACTATCCTCTGGATCATTGCCCTGGAGCCCACGCTGCATCGCCCTATGTACTTCTTTCTCTTCCTGCTTAGTGTGTCTGATGTTGGCTTGGCAACAGCCCTGATGCCCACCCTGCTGGGGCTGGCCTTTGCTGGTGCTCATGCTATCCCTGCCTCAGCCTGCCTCCTACAAATGTTCTTTGTCCATGTCTTTTCTGTCATGGAGTCCTCTGTCTTACTGGCCATGGCCTTTGATCGGGCACTTGCCATCTGTCGCCCTCTCCACTACCCATCACTACTCACCAATGGTGTCATTAACAAGATTTGTCTGGTCATTGCTTTCCGATGCCTGGGTCTCCATCTGCCTCTGCCATTCCTCCTGGCCCACATGCCCTACTGCCACCCACAGGTTCTGACCCATTCTTACTGCTTGCACCCAGATATGGCTAGTCTGGCCTGTCCAGGAGCATGGGGTTCTGTCTACAGCCTAGTTGTGGTCCTGTCAGCCATGGCATTAGACCCCCTGCTTATTTTTTTCTCCTATGGCCTGATTGTCAAGGTGTTGCAAGGTGTGGGGTCCAGTGAGGATCGCTGGAAGGTTGGTCAAACCTGTGCTGCCCATCTGTCTGCTGTGCTCCTCTTCTACATACCTATGATTCTCCTGGCACTCATTGACCAGCTCAAGGTACTACTCCCTCAGACTGCCCACACTCTTCTCTCCTATGTCCACTTCCTTCTTCCTCCTCTGTTAAACCCTATTCTCTATAGTGTCAAGATGAAGGAGATTAGAGAAAGAATATATAAGAGGATGCAGTCCAGGAGGGTGGGTTGTGCTCAGTGAATGGGATGTCCCTCTATGTTTGGTGGTAGAGAGCTCCCCAATTCAAAGGTTTTAATGACTGAGACCTCACTTCGCTATACACCAAATGGTCATTCCGGTAAACAAGTGCCTATGGGTGAATGCAGCTGCCGGCCCCTAGCAGTGTGCATGTGTACATTGAAGAAAGCTTTAGAGATGGAAATGACCTGCCACTGTTGTATTATATGGCAATGGCATTGAAAGGGCCAGAGTCTAGGTCTTGTCACAAGCATCTAACAACAAGCTGTTGTTGATTTGTCATTGTTGATTCCATCACTATGTTCATGGCTGAATAATTGGGGGAGGCGGAAGAGTTAAATAGCTGCACAGCAGAAGAAAGAGAAGAGAGCAGCATCCTGCCTAGCTGGATGGAGGACTTTCCACTTATGTTGTACCCTCATGAGAAGTAGTATTCTGATTGTTCCTCAGGGATAAGATGAAAGAAGAAAATGCAATAAGTCTCTCATTTGGGCTCTCCACACTGAGAAACAGACCGTTTAACTCATCAGAAAATAAAAGACAATTAGGCATTTTTCATTTTTTATTTTTAAAAATGTTAAATTTTGAATATATGTATACTCTTGTTAAAATTTCACATAATTCAGAAAAAAAATTAAAATTACCTGAAATTGTATCATCTAAATTTAAGCAAAATTACCTTTTCAGGCAACATCAAGAAATAAAGTGTCTTATATAAATGGAATTTTATACCTCATATATGGAACTAACAGTCTCAATTCTAGAGGGGTTGGAATGAGCACATTGAACTTACTTTCACTGTGACTTTGAGCCTGGATAAATGATTTGCTCTATTCAATGTGGCTCTCATGACCTGATTTGGTAAACAGGATGTTATTGTACGTGATGAGAGTATAGGCTTCAGTGTGACTTTTCAACTGGGTTTGTCTTATTGTGATATGGATAGAGCTTCCCTGGTAGGTTTTGCCTCTTCAACCTGACTCAGAATGATACCCATGATTCAGAGCTAAGCAAAATCCACACCCTGGGCAAGTCCATGCTTCCTAGATATATAGAGCAGAGCCACCAAGTCAAAGCTGCCTAGATCAAGAGTACCTTGGTCTACCTTTTGACAAAAAATGGTACAACAAATACAGTGGCTGCAAACAGCTGAGGTCTTGCACTTAGTAAACAGCAAAAGTAAACAAACCACAATGTAATTTATATATATGTGCATGTGTATATATATATATACATATATATAATTAATTTTCTCATTTTATATATCATTACAATGATTAATATACATGTATGAAGAGTTTGTTTTGTTTGTAACACAATCATTGAGTAACATTGTACACTTATTTCTGTATCTGTTTTTCTTTCTTGTGGTTGAACTACTTCCAAAATCAATTGGTATGGATTTAGTTCATTCAACTAACTATATAGCATTTGATGGTATAGATGGCTTATACTTTATCCACTCATTTTTCTATTAATGGTTATTCAGTTTGATTCTACTACAAACAATGCTGCAATAAACATTCCTGCAAAACTCTTTATTTTTACTTATCCTTCTATAAGGCTAATGTCCAGGCCAATACTGCTGGCTTTAAAGGACTGTACATTTAAAGTTTCAATATGTGGGCCTTTCACAAAAGGCAACATGAATTCATATTTTTATTCTATAGAGGAGACTGCCTTTTTTCTTACATATCCACCAAAACTGACTGTTCTGGAAATTTTTAATTTTTACCAATTTTATTAGTGAGAATTATCTCAATCTACTTTGTTTTGAATTTACCTAGTAGTAAAAAAACCTAAAAAACTAGCTAGCATTTGTTGCCCTTAACGCAGAGAAACTAAAGCAGATACCTTAAAGCAACTGAGGCCAATAGGAAAAGGGGAACAGGTACTAGAGAAAAGGTGAGATCAAAAAGAATTAACCTAGAAGGTAACACCCACGCACAGGAAATCAATGTGAGTCAATGCCCTATATAGCTATCCTTATCTCAACCAGCAAAACCCCTTGTTCCTTCCTATTATTGCTTATACTCTCTCTACAACGAAATTAGAAATAAGGGCAAAATAGTTTCTGCTGGGTATTGATGGGGGGGGAGGGGGAGGGGGCAGAGTGGGTGGTAAGGGAGGGGGTGGGGGCAGGGGGGAGAAATGAACCAAGCCTTGTATGCACATATGAATAATAAAAGAAAAATGAAAAAAAAAAAAGGAATGTTTTCCACATGCCTATTGATTATTTTATTTCCTCTTCCACAAAGAGCCTTTCAAATAGCCATTATCCACGTTTCTATTTGGTTGTTTATATTTTAAATATAGCATTTGAGTGAATAATTTATATTTCAATTTCATTTAGTCTTTAGTTTTTAATAGGTTTACCTGTTAAATCCTATAAAATGACTTTTCAGCATCCACTGATAAGACATCATTTTCTTAACATGATGATTCCATCCATTTTCCTGCAAATAACATAATTTCATTCTTTATGGCTGAAAAATACTCCATCATATATGTATACCACATTTGTTTATCCAGTCATTGGTTTTCAGGCACCTAAGCTGGTTCCATATATTGCTATTGCAAATAGTGATGCTATAAACAAGGGTGTGCAGGTATCTCTCTTGTATATTGATGTGCATTCTTTTGGGCATATGTCCAAAAGTGGTATAGCAGGATCATATGGCAGTTCTGTTTTTAGTTTCTTGATGAACCTCCATACTAATTTCTTAAGTGGCTGGACCAATTTACATTCCCACCAACAGTGTATAAGTGGTCCGTTTTCCTGCATCCTCATCAGAATTTATTTTTTTATTTTCCTGACAAATGCCATTCTGACTGGAGTGATATAGAACCTCAGTGTTGTTTTGATTTGCATTTCCTTTATGAATAAGGGTATTGAACAATTTTGCATGTATTTAGTAGCTATATGTACTTCTTTTGAGAACTGTCAAGATAAGCCAAGCTCAGAACCACAAATATCACATTTTTTTTGCTCAAATGTGGAATCTTGATCTTAAAAAAAATATATATATATATATATATATATATATGAAAATAATAGAATGACACCCACCAAACAACTGTTAAAAAGGAGAGAGAAGAAGGAAGGATGGTTAAGAGAGAGTAATATAGATGGAGTGAATTCGATCAAAATAAACTATATGCATGTTGTAAATATCACAATGAAACCCCTTTGTACAATTAATGTATGTTAATAAAAAATTTAAAATATAATTATCTTCTTTAACATATTGACAAATTTTTACATTAAGACATCTTTGTTCTTTGGTAATGCATTTCAAATGAAAATTAGCAAATTTAATCCAAGCAAGAGCACACAATGATATCCTGGGAGTCATTCCAGAAATACATGAATAACCTCATATTGTATCAGTCTTCTCTCCAAGATATATATTCTCTTAGTAAATTAATTAAATGCGTTACTTCTCCATGTCACAAAAGAGAATAGTAAGGCTGGGAATTTAAGAATAATCCACTTCTATGGAACTAGTTACAGAGAAAGCATTTAAATTAAATGCATTTAAATTTAACTTCTTATTTGCCTTAATCTAAAGTTCTCAATCTTTAATACTGAACAGAGGAACAGCTTGCCCCTGTAGAAACAAGGCTGAGGTCTCTGATGAACTGCTTTCCAAACATGAGAATGAGCACTTTCTTCTACCCCCACTCCCCAACTGCCAGATCTACATTGAATCACAATAGGAAGAATGAGGTGAAATTAAGGTTCAGGGTAACATAGGATTAGTTTGAATTGTCAATCCACTATTCCTTATGTGATTTGGCATCAGTTGTTCCCATGTTTGCAAAATATATATAGTGAAGCTAGCATGAATTAAGTACCTGCAAACAGTATATGAATGTCAGATACTAAATAAATGTCTAAATTATTTGGAACTAACAATGAAAATAGAAATTATCATATTAAGACATTGTGTGCATATTCAATATGAATAAAGAGCTTTGCAAATGGAAGTTTCTTTAATACCTCATGCTTCATTTTATAGACAGAAAATGCAGTTTGGGGCCTGCTGAAAGTGCTTTAGAACGGACATTTGTATGCTAGTGGTAGACACTGAACTAAAATTTAGCCTATCTAGAAGTATTATCTTGTGTTTATTACTTTACAAAGTGAAGGTAGCAGGATACTCTCTTTTACAAGACTACAACTTCTCCTTTCTTGTTCTTACTGTCTCCTGCCACTGACCAAATCCACACCAGTTCTATCAAAACCTTCAAGTACCTAGTGGTTTCTGTTACCACTCCTGACACATTTAGAACACTATCTTCTCCTAAAAAATCACTCCACATAAACTTACTGAGACACTTGGAAAAAATGTTTGTTAACAACATGCAGATGGATGGAAGTACATTAGCAAGGTCATTTACAATTGTAAACAAAGTGTGACAGTGATACATAGAAGTTGGATGAGCTGAAGATCAGGAAAAAGCTTTCCAAAACCCAATATTCTGGGCTGGGCTGGTCTGATTTCTCAACAAAGCCATCCAAAGTAGTAACCATAATTTAATTGAGTGTGTGTGGGGTGTGTGTGTGTGTGTATGTGTGTGCATGAAAGAGAGAGAGAGATTGAAAAGTAATGAGAGTAATGCCAGAGAATATAAATTCAAATGCCTAAGGAACCAGGCAAATAATAATGGAACAAATATACATTCAGACTATGTGTAGTGGAGACCATGTCAATAAAGATGGCAGCCATTCTTCAGGAGATTCCTAGTGGATGTATCATATGAGATCTATGCCTAGGATTGCCATGGTTTCCAATTGTTAATATAATATGTAATCTATTTTCATCTGAAATTGTCTAAACACTAACTTATTCAAATAAACTTGTCTGAAGAACACATTGGAATCTTACAAACACTAATTTATTTAATCTCTACAATCCATGAAGAAGGATTATGTTTTTACTTTCAAAGTATATATAAAGTAAATATTAATGCATAATACACATAAAGTGGTTTTACCATGACCACACAGCTAGTAAATAACACAACTGA